TCTCTCTCTCTCTCTCTCTCTCTCTCTCTCTCTCTCTCTCTCTCTCTCTCTCTCTCTCTCTCTCTCTCTCTCTCTCTCTCTCTCTCTCAATGTCGATATCTCCCGCGCCATACTTTGTTCCTCCTGCCTGGGCAACATAGAGCGAGCTCGAGCCCATCGATCAATAAGCGGCACATTGGCCGATGGCGTGCACTGCCCTTGAGGGCCGAGTCCTGTCCTCTGCCTCACGCGTCGTCCTCCACCGTCATCTCCATCTGCCATCCGGAACCTCGGCACGTAATCGGAGTCATTAGGATCGTCGGCCCCTTTGGTCTGCCGGCCTCAGCGGCTGTGGAACTGTCATCATGGATGATGCTCGAGTCGCCTCCTCTCTTCTCGCCTCGCCCTGGTCCGTCCACGCCGTTACCCCCGTCTGCCACCGCCTGTCCGTCAGCAGCCACCGGCATCTGTCTGGACTGATCTCTGTAGCGCAAAATAGGTGGCGGGCGGCGCCGGTGATACGGAATCGACGTACCTGTCCCCTTCTTCCTCGCCCGAGATAGCCTCGCAGTTGCCATCCTGGTGTCATGAACGTCCTCTATCTTCGCCCGTATGGGCCTCCCATGTCGCTCCTCAAAAGCTCTCATGGACTCGTGACAACTGCCATCGACATGGCCTATCAACCGCAAGCCCGCGGGCACATCCGTTGGTCCACATGCTGATGAATGTCCCGTATCGCCCGCCCTCCGGTTCGTGCCCGCGCCATCGTAGAAAGACATCGTCGGCAATGCACAACGCACATCCAAGTCATGGGCGGCGGGGTCGACGGCGGGGGGGTGCGGGGGTGGTGGACAAATCCCCGGCAGATGCGGTCGTGGTTCACCTGCATGCCCGCCTCGAACACCATGTGCGATGGGCCCTCCAACATCAGGGTGTGTGGTCGATGATCCGCCATGCTCACTGTCCCCGCCGACGGGCTGACCATCAGTTGCGCTCCGTGGCTGAGCCAGATCCCGCCCCGTGCCTTCACATCCTCCCGACCGAACGACCCCCGGAACCTGCGCCTCTGTCCTCGCCGTCGGGCCCGGGTGGGGCTCTGCATGCTGACGCGCCGCCCGTGCTGGGACTAACGACCCGTCGTCCGAAAAATCTTGCGAACCACGACCCCCAGGCACCACATGATCCACGGATGCTGCCTCTAATGACTCTCCCAGACTGCGTTGCGCTGCAACACGCGGCCCACCACGGCGGTTCCGTGCCACCTCATCCGCCAACCCCTGCTCCACAACCCACGGGCCTCCCACATGAAAACCGGCGGGAGAGTTGCGGATCTCTGAAGGATGCAGTCTCGTGTCGCCGCCGACCGCGTCGGATCCTGTGTCGTGATGCGTCTCATCCAGCGGAGCAGCCTTTGGTGGCGCCACGTCTGGCAAACTGGGAGATATCAAAATCGATATTTCGGGCAGACCTGCCAAGGCTGCGTCGATGGCAAGTAACTCATCAGTGCGCGGAAGACTGTCGGGCGGGCAATGGAGCCCAGCACCCTGCTGCAACTTATCTGGGTATCCCGCCAATGTGTCGTAGATATCCTCAGCGCGGTAACCGCAGCTCGCCAGCGCACGCACCACCTCCTCTCTACTGTAGCATACAGACTCGAGACCATCCTGGGCACAAGCGGGATTATGTGCGACCTCTCCGTCCTCTAAACCACCGCCTGTCGTGGGAGGGGGTGGTGCCTCCCCGTCCTCCAAACCCACTCCTGCAGGGGCGACCTCCGCCCTAGGCGCCCCATCCGCGCCCGTGACAACATCTGTGGAAGGCATGCGATGGAGCTGCGTCTCCTCTGCGGTGCCGACAGCCGGCTCCTGCGACCGGGGACGAGTGACCACCGCTCCACTCTCCTCCCGCGCCAACGACGCGGGATGATCATCCATGTCATCCTCCGACACGACGACCGGGTCCTGCTGCATGACATGTGCCTCCGTCCTGGTCGCGACGTGCACACGACGTCTACGCACACGAGATGCAATGCTGTCATCCCATATGCCCCCGCGTCTCAACCGCTTCAAAACGATGGCAGGCATGCGAGTCATGGTGCGACCACCGTGACCA